GCAATAAAAGTCAAGTCAATTAATAGTGAAATCACTTACTGTAATAAACCAATAGGAATTGATTCGGTATATCATCCGGGACAAGAATCCCAGCTGACTAGCTGGAGCCAAGACATGAAGGTGCAAGTGAGCTATGGAGCAAAAGGGAGGCCAGTGAAAGCCCATCCTGGAAAAACAAATGTGGCAGCAACAATTCAGACGCATAAAACAAGGCTCCAGAATCAAGGCATACCATAAGGATTTGAATCCTTGCAGCAACTTGACAGCATCACTAGGAGATTCCATGCAAGTCACTCTTGTTTTCCACATTGTTTACCTTATTCCATGCAACAAACTAGCCCTTTCCAAAAAATTTTATAGTTATAGCACTTTGCATATATTATTCATACTAATAATTGCTCAATTTCTTTTCATTTGGAATTACACAGGAGAGCTAGTGTTTGCTTATGCTGACCAAAAGTCAGTGCAGATAAGATTACAACTTAGCAAGAAGAGTCAGGGAACTCTGATGCATTTGGCAAGCAGAAAAGAGCATCCTTTATTTGATTCCTCTCTCAGTTTCCATACTGGATACAGAAGAGGGATCAGAACTATGTTGTTCCTCTTGAACTTCATGAGTTCTCATGGTAGATGCTTAACCATAAATCCATAAAGGAGTTGGTGTCTTAGTACACGTGATTTCTGGGGCAAGATACTCAATTAGTGATTGTTTTTCTTTTGAAATGTTTTCAGTTAAACTCTGAAACAAGGCTTTTGAAAGTGTTTGAATATATATAAAACATTCGCCTTTTATAAACTTGATTATCATGAGGCATGTCCATACTCCCATAGTGCCAAATTCAGTGGAGTTCCAATAATAGTTCCTATAATGCAGTCATGCAGCATACAGGTAGTGGGGCTTTACAGTCCTCAACTTAGGACCAGTACGTTATGGTGGATTTATTTTTGAACTACTTACGACCAGATTCAAAGTTCATTTGATCAGCAACACAATCACATTTATAGCCAGAGTCACATAATTACATTTTACAATGGTTTTGCTGAAATCCAGCACCCAGTTTTTGGCAAGATCACACCATAGCAAATAATAGATTCGCTTAATAACTGTGGCAGCCACTTTACGATCGCCATGCTCCCTTAACGACTGCCACAAAAAAGGTCACAAAATCAGGTTGGTCACATAACTGATCTGGTTGACAACCATCACAACTTACGACTCTAATGGGCAGGCTCCATTACAGCTGTAACATGATGATTACTTGTATGTTTAGTTTGCCATTTACGTAATAGCATAGCAATTTATTTATTTATTTATTTTCTGGAAATGTACCTTATATCGTCCAAGTTAGTGCACTTACTCCACTGAAGGATAGCTTTTCCAACTGCCATCATTCTTTCCACTGTCAAAAAATGGTCAGAGAAAAGGAAGAAAATTAGATTTCTGAAGTTCAGCCATTCAGTGCTACAGACATATTGCTAACTCCTGTTTAACGTCGCTGGAATTTATTTTTAAATAAACCCAGTTCTGAGGACATCTAAAATAACAGAGTTATGTTTTTAACACGTCACAAATTAATTTGCTTATATATGTTTGTACCCAAGTACACATAAATCAGCCTTTATTAAAGGATTCTTGAGACATGTATAAAAGTTTAAATAAAACTATTCATGCAAACATGTATGTATTATGAAAAGAAACAATATCCTGAAACCTAATTAAGCAGAATAAAAGCAGGTTGGAGTTTGGAAAAAAGTGTATTTTTAACAAGGCATTTGAAAAAGTGCAGGGGCAACTTTAATTTATCCTTGGGGTAAGGGTGGAAAGCATGGTTAAATGTGGGTACCAAGAAAAAAAGACCCCATACTTTTAAAAACATATATGCACCCAGATATTATTCAACACAACATAATTTATTAACATGTACAAGCCCAGCCTGACTCTAGAGAGGAAATGGACATATGGGAACTCACAACATACTCCACTTATGCTGACCAGACTTCTTAGCCCATCTGACTTTGTGTGTATTCTAAAAGATTCATTTAATTAAAATATTGAGTAAAAAGCTAGCATTCTGCAAAGGACTTGCCTTAGCTGTATATTTATTTTCTCAGATGTTTTGGGACCTCACAACAATACCATTGAAATTGAGAAATCATTTTAGAATATCTAGAGAAATCATTTTAGGTCCTAATAAATGAATAATTTGTGATTTCCATTCCCCTCATGGCAGCAATTCTATGAGTGAAGCTACCATATGCTCCCATCTGTTCAAACAGGGTTCTCCCCAATCCCTCCTCAAAAAGGGTTCTCCCCAATCCCTAAAAATTAAATACTAAACCTGTCAGGCCCCAAGAACCAAGAAAGACACAAGAAGTTATGTCTGAGCAATTCCTTTATTGTTCCTCACCTACAGACACAAATCTTGCCAAACTAAGCAACTATTTGCATCACCATAGATGTACTCTGGGAATCACTAGAGAAGAGCTGTTTTAACTCTTTGTCTCCTGACCAAACTTTCCATGCTTTGCTGCCTCTTTGCCCTCTAGAATGCAGCCCCTCCCTCCTGGGAATCTAGGCTACATTCCCCCACACAACCCTACCAAAATGGGGGTGGGTTAGTCTTGGTTAACAGATACAATGGGATAATTGTTATTTGGTAACATATTCAGCTCTGAGTTGTCCTGATACTGATGTCTAATCTTGCCTTGGCTCATCCATATATGTGGAGAATGTAAACCAATAATAAGAGTTTTAGACTGATTATATACTGTCAATGCAGTGTTGACTTTTAGCTACCGCATGGATTTTCTTCTTTCTCCATGCCAATATTAAGAGAGGTGATTCTCCACTTACATAATGGTATATGCTCACTCTTAAGAGTCTTGCAATTTCCAATGTGGTTCTTTGGTAACACTAAATAATGATGAGGCGCTCCTGGTCTGATATCTCGGAAGCATACCAAATCTTCATACTAA